ACGTGACCTCGCTGACGCAACAATACTAATAACTGGTAATTATTCCAGCTTTCTTGTACGTTGCTTGGTATTTTTATAGCTGGATCTTCTAAGAGATCATCGAGATGAATAATTGATGAATAATCCCTTTGAATAGTAAACTAAGGTTCACAGCTGTAATCATACAATTTGTGTTTTGCCTTGTTTACGTAGTAACATTGTTATCACTATCAGTATTCTTTATGGAGCTCCTATTTCTTTGCATAATGATTATTTTCATATGCATTGATTCCTCAGTATTTACGAGTTTCAACAAAGGTGTACATCATGGTACTGATCATGTTTTTTTTTGTCCCTATCCACAGTGCCTTACAGAACATTGTTCATACTAGCATAAAATACATGGCTCCGCTGTGTGGTTAATAGACCCCCTCGTGGTTCACAGAGGCCTCAGTGAATCAGTTAAACTCCCCCATTACACCCAGTTACTTCTACAACTATTCAGATGGGTGTCGTACACGAAATGAAACTGCTTTAGGAAATCCACCCGTTGTACTTGACCACCATACTAGCTTATGAGTGAAGTTATGAACAAAAGGCGCTCCCGGGATCCCACTAGGGGCGAATAACACTAACTCCGGTACCAGAATATTTACTCCTACTCGTAAACCCTAATTATGATTGGGTGATCTTTCGGGTGCATTTTATCTTTTCCATGATATTTAGCTACACCATATAGATGAGGACACGTCCACAGGCCACCCCAAGTCCACCTGCCAAGTTTGATCCTGCTAGTTGTAAAACTGTGGGATTAGTTCGTGAACATAAATTCGCACACCACGTGAATTATTAAAATATTTGTTATTATTAAAGTTCAAGTCTATTTGTGCACGTCTCCTGCACAGATATACACTCCCCCCCCCCTAAAATTATTGGTCGCATCCGTCATTTTTTCTGTTATGCTCTTCCACTGTTATTTGTTATTGTTGACCCGGGTTCTTCACATCATTAAAAAATTGTTAACCCCATTCCTCAAACCAAATATTATAATGGGTTTGAATTCTGTGGTTTTAATTTTATGGAATTACCCGATCATTTGTAAGCTTATTAGGAAATACATTTTTTATTTATGAAAGAAAATGGTTGCAAAACCGTTACTAGATTTAAAACACCCAAGTAGGAATATGTTTTTCGGATTGTCTTGCTGGTTTTGGCTTTGTTAGCCTGCTGAGCTGAAGAAGTTTGTTTTAATTTTCGTATTTTTAATATTGAAATTTTCTGTTGCTAAAATATGCGAGTTATTATACTTTTATAAAGTTGTAGCCGATGGTTCCGATTGGACAAAATTTGGTGATAATACGTCAATGTATCTCCTTGACAACCAAGCAAACGTAATGTGGAATTGCAGCCAATGATTACGATTTTTGTGCGCCAACAATACCAAGCTTGGGGGCGCATGTATACAAGATTCGATTTTATTGCTCCTCGCGATCTCTGCGAACCTACTCTCAAATCTATATATATCATTAAAAAAGGCAAACTCGCTTGTCACCGCAGAAAGCGCCATCGTTTCGTACAAGTTGCGTGTTGATCTGTCCCGCAATAGCCAAGATATAGGTGATTAAAATTGGAGCAGTATTTTTTTTTTGTGAGCGGTTAGCCTTTGAATTATAAAGCTCTCAAGAAATTCTCAAAAATCCCGACGAATTTTCATTAGCATGTAACAGTATTTTTATTCGGTAAAATACAATTAGGAGCTTGATATCAAATAATTTGCTTTCACATTTCATCTACTTTGTTGAGCCTTGTAAGTATATACACGATATAATTAAAAGGTCATTACAATAATCGAACTGTTGGTTAACAAGAGCAAACACGAAACACATTAAATGTAAATTGGGATTGAATCCTTCTGTTTGGAAATGTCAGTAATTCTGTATACCTTCTGTCATGAAGCATTACTCTATTTCAGTTCAGAATGTTTAGGAAAGGCTATTCTGTGCTTATTTACTGTAATCAAAAGTAGAACTGCAACCAATCTGAAAATATACTAAATATGTGTGTGTGTGTGTGTACTACATAAATCGGTCATAAGCTTTACATAATAAATCTAATGAAGCTGAACTGTATGCTTTTATTTTCCTAGTGAAATGTTGTGTAACACATTTCTAACATGTTATTAACAATGTATTTTTATTATATGCATTCGTACTTACTTTTTTACTGTAAGATCACCATGACGATACACTGTTCACAGTAGCACGTGCTACAGTACTTCTTGACCAAAAGATAACTACTATAAAGCTATCGTCAGCATTTAGCCTGAACACGTAATGAGGGGAGTTCCCAGTGTCGAAACACTTTAAATCTGTATCTAGTTGCTTTTACTTGGGAATATGACCCACTGCAATAAATTGACGATGTGGCAAATTTGTTCACTATGCATACGAAAATTATAGCCCCTCCACCCCAATGTCTCAGAGGAAAATGTGGAGGCTTATAACTAAAAACCAGGTTTCGATACCCGTGTTGGCACAGCACAGATAGCCTATTGTGCAGGTTTGCTCCTAGTAACAAGGAAACAAAACAAAAAATACCCTATTTTAATCAGTACATTAATTTGTTCTTCCTATAAATTCTGGAGAAACGTGGAATTATATTAAGCCCTTTCATATTAAAAATCTATGACTCCTGCTACACAAGTCACAAGTTATATTTAAGTATTAGTGAGAAATATTGTCTGTATTTTGAAAGGTCTATGTTCTCAAATGAAGCTGCGAAGTGAAATTATATTTATCATACAATATTTTTATTCACATCTTCTGATTGGTTGATAATGTAGGGTTTTAACACTTCAGAAGTGAAAACTATTACTGAAAAATGTAGTGCTGAAAATTTGAAACCTATGAAATGTTTGGTTATTTTATGATAGAAAAATTGGTGGTAAATGTAATTTCACGTGACTAAATATTGGCTGGGAATACAAAGTGTCGCAGAAAGTAAAATTAATACCACATTTTAACTTTACAACATACATGGAAATGTTTAGGAAGGGTTTCTTCCTTAAAGGGTGTTGAACGAAATATTAAAGATGAATTCCTTTGAGAATCTTTTCTTAGAGTATTATTAAGTTCAGTCTATCTGCGCGTATGATTAGAGATGTAAAAAATACTGAGCTCTTTTAACATTGTGGTTGTATATATTCCGGTATGATTAGAGATGTAAAAAATACTGAGCTCTTTTAACATTGTGGTTATCTAATCGCTATTTACTCTGTCTCCTGATGTGAAATTAAAACCCATTGAGAGTTTTCACTTACATTTGCCCCTATTTGCATCAATCACAACTTAAACCAGCGCATCTCCAGGCTAAACTTGATAGGTGTATACGTTACATTACACACTGCTATAAATCGATAATAAGCAATCTTACTGTAATGGATCAAAGGCGTGGCCGTGTATATATCTATTTCTCTGTGTGATCGAAAGAATTAATACAGTGGTGTCATCTGTTGGGCTGAAATTTAACAAGATCTCAATGCCAGAAGTGGTGATTGATCACATGTTAAATGTGGCGTCATCTATTGAATAGCACTACAAACAACAATTCATAAAAACATTTCGCACTTTGGGTATTCAAGATTTGGAGAATTGAAAAAAATAACAATGCTATGTGCAATAAACATTTCTTTATAACAGAACACAATTTTTAGATATAGTACTCTTCTCATAACAAGAAAACGACTTTCACTAGGATTGTACGTGAGTGTTTGATTATATCTTTATTGATGTACGTTTTAAATATAGTACTAAAACACTGGAATAAAGGGTAGCACTTTCAATAAATAAAAACAGAACAGTTTATATCAGTAAAATGTGTGAAGATTTTGAACACTCTACATTGAATCATTTTAATGAAATGCGTTGCGTATGACTAAAAAAGCACAATCTGAACACTTTTCCCGTGAAGCACTTCCCAGAATAAAATACTTTTTACAAGATGTACAATTTTTTACAATGATATATGATTACTATGATTACCTATTACTAGCACAAATAGCCGCCCTTAGGGCGGCGTTTCTGCTAGTATACCACAATACCCAAACTTTCACCCAGGCCTTACCTACTCTTTATTTTTCAGTTGTTTGCACAAGTTTTCACCTATGATTTGTACATTAATTTAAGAAATGAGTAGGGCCTTTTGTTTGCTATTCCGCAGTTGACTTCCCCAAAGTTTGTAATTTGTAGCTGTTCTATAAATGGTGTGTGTGTGTCTAAGTTTTCGTCTAGTGCGATTTGAATACAATTATGGTTCATTTATTAATTTAGACAATATTTGCAAGAATGTATTCAGCAATTTGGCACATACAATGATTTTTGTGGAGTTTAATAACTTTTTACAAGTTAGTTTACTACTAATTTACTGTTTTATTCGAATGTTTGAACTTTATAATAGTCCTGAAATTCACATTTTACAATACGACTGCAGGTCCTGTTTTTTCGTCGACTACTTATATTTAGGATACCCATTATAATCATACCAAGGTGGGTAAAAATTACTGTTATTAAGACGAAACTTGAGGCAAAACATACAACAAAGAAAAACGGAAACGAGACGATCTTGTGAAATGATTGGAATACTGCAACGATATATAATTTTCACAATGGAGTATTTAAAAAATTACCTCGGTTAAAGATGCAACTTGGATGTTAGTTTACCCAAGTTCCCCGGTAAGTTTACGAACTTACAAGGCTAAAATTAGTGGTTAGATTCCTCGCGGTGAACAGAGCACAGATAACTTATTATGTTAGAAGAAACAACAACAACAATTTACGCAAATAAAGCTAGTTCATTTAGGCTATTTATCTTCGCACGTGAATATATGCAATATCTTTTAATTGTTTCACTGTTTGTTTTTTAGAGTTATTCATCTAATCAAGAAACAAGGGACAACAGAATCGGCATCAACAACGACAAAAGTCTAACGTGTATTCCACTGAAGTATGCCTTTTTTAAAATCATTTTTAAAAACTCTTGGCTCAGAACCTATCGCAAATTTGCGATTTACGTGTATTACTTAGTATGTCCTTCTTTGTTTGTGTTCTGTGTCTTTACAACAGTGTTTCATATTAAAATGGGAATAATATTATAAGCAAAACTGAAAGACTTGAAATTTGTTCAATATTTAAAGACAGTCTGTTTCAGTAATGCAATGGTATCGAAAAACAATTTCGCGAATTTTAAATATGATCGTTTCTTAAAATGTTTTTGAAGTTTTGCCCTTCCATTCTGTGTTTCATAATCAAGAGACTATAGCGACTCATTTGATGCTTCATATCTTTCCAATTAAGATAAATTTCCTTCAAATTCTGTAATTAGTAATATGTCTTTAGTGAGAACGTTTGGGGGGGACTGAATTGGTATTTAAGTGTATTTGCCAAATATTTCTGAAAATATAAGAATGGTAGTTTTCGGTAAAGAGAGCTGGACAGAAGCTTATATATAGATATATAAATATTGACCTGAATCTAGTTGTATAGAATGTGTGGGTTTGTTGAAATGATAATTTTGGGTAGTTTTCATTTTCATGTAAGTCAGATATACGATGATGAAGACTTTTGAAATGTTTTCAAATTTCCAGTTCATTATTGTAATATAGCACACAGTGTGACAGTTCCAGTCTCGGCGAAGTTGAAAAAAACTGTACAGTACCCAAATCTACACGTGACTCCAACGACACTAACACGTCATTACAGAAAGATGAACCATCTTCCGAAGCATGTGCAACGACTGGTAATGGTAACCATTACAATACCAATGAAAAAATAGTCTGGCCCAATCCCTTCACTCGAAACGGACGTTACGTCAACATAGAAGCAGTTAATTGGTCTAATCTTCGTTACAGAAACCGTTGGGGGTGTCTTTTTCTCGGTATATTTGTTGGCCTGGTATTCGTAGGAATTGCAGTTGCTGTTGTTGGAGTAGCTATTCTTACAGGTTTAGTTTTCGTGTTAAATATAGTTCAAATAAGTTACTCATATCCTCTCTAAGCTATTTAGATATATTTTAATATTTTGTAGTCTTTTTTTTTTTATCCCTACTTGATAATTTCTGAACCCTTCACATCTTTATCTTCTTAACATTACCAACTTTGCAAGTTAGTGTTTTTCCCTTTGAACATTTATTACTTTGCCTTCCTAAAATTACTTATTTTCCACACTTTGATATAACACACTTTTCTTCCCGAAGAGGGTATATTTACAAAAAAAAACCTGATTCAAGTATTTATTAATTATTGTAAAGAGATTGAAAGAAATTTTCTGTGGAAGATAGGTAAAATATTTGTTGATTAAATAATATCTTAAGGACTTTTTTCTTAAGTTAAAAGTTTTAAAAACTAGAAATGTGATAAAAAGTCATAAACATCTCATAATATTTCATTAACCCCCAACATAAGTTTTAAACAAAACATTTCATATTTGACGTCATTTTTATAATTGAATATTTCATTTGCCATTTTTGATGCGAAAATACAATTATGTAACCTTAATTTCTTTACTAATTTTAGGTCTCCAAAAGGATTTCAAGTACTTGTGTCAACAATCTTCTGTTTATCGTTTCCAAGGAGCCCACGTATCTGGTAGGCCAAATGAAATTGTGACTCAAATGAGTAATGAACACTTGTAAATTACCTTTATTAAAACATTGTTCAATCTTTTTAAGCGTTCAGTGTCAACTTCGTAACAGGTTAAAATTTAGATAATTTGTACTTTCTTCAGTTATAGTGTGTTAAGATTTTCTTAATTTTTTTAGTGCTTCACTTTGCATAACTAGGACCAAAAAGTATGCCTATTTGGCATTATAAAAATTAAAAACGATGAAAGTCAGCACTATGTAGAACTGTTAAATGTGACTAAAAGTTTCAATAATAAAGCATTATTCGAGTGCTATTTCATAGCAAAATTACTGATAAAATCTTGTATATCTAGTTGAATCGTTAAAGTGCCTTTTTTCAGTTCGGGTGTGCGTTTTTCTGCGTAATAAGAAATGTAATTTGTATTTTCTGAAAGATTTTTCACACAGTCAATTAAAGAAGTGGACGTTGTTCACCGGAAGTGTGATTTTCCAAACAAATAGAACAACACCTTGCTTAAACGAAAAAAAGCAAACGAAAAGAAAGCAACTTTATAACCAGCCATCTTTTACATCTAAGGTAATTTAGTTAATAATTTCCATTTAAGTTCGTGACATATTCTACGTGGGCTCGTAATAGTGTGATCTGCTTTTCAAAAAATGAATCGTTTACGAATAAATCCAAGTAACTCAGGAAAAAAATGAACTAGACGGTAAATACATGCAAGCAAAAGCATATAGACTGTAGATAAAGCAGTCAATTTACAAATAAAAATTGCTCGGGAACAATTTTTATCACATACCCTAGAAGACGAAAAACTGAGTTACTTAACATGCCACCTGTAGCTTTATACTATGTGTCCATTTACTATAGTTGAGCTATTGTTACTTTAAATGCCGATACTTTTTCGTTGGTTGGAATGAGAAGTTAAACTCAGTAGTAAGTAACCAAGATTTTAGACAGAACGTAATTTCTATAATGACTTCAAGTAAATGATAATGATGACTTCAGGTTAATATGCCTTTGAAGTCTTGAAAGCCCTTTATAATATATATATATATATATATATGTGTGTGTGTGTGTGATTATAATTTAGTAATTACTTGAAATATCATTTATGAATAGTAACTTTATAAAACTTTTTTCCTTACTCGTTACAGTGAGATGTAAATTTATCTTTAAATTAGCAGTCTGCTCTTGTGATAGCATTTTACTATACTTGTTATAAAGGCTTTTAGTTTGTTGTGATACTTGATTTTGTAATTTTTCTTACTTCATTTTTGATGTTTCAACTCTAATTTGAAGATTTTTTATTTCTCCTACTGAAGTTCAAGTTTGAGCTTTATTTGTGTTGTGCTTTCTTCTTTTTCAGATCGAACAAGCCTTTAGAAATTCCATGATAGGGTCAAACTTTGTAGCATTCTCTTTGGGCAATATAGGGTGAGCGAATCATATGAATTCAATCCTTGTTATATATCACGTGTTGTGCATTACTTGGAGTCTTGTTCTCTTTTTGTTTGAGTTTCTCCGAATAAATATTAACAAGATTAGACGGGAATCTTTTGATAAACGAGTTAAGGAACTATAGTCTGCTGCTTTGTCATAGGTACGCAAGTTTTAGCTTTATTGTCATGGGGAAGTCTCGATATTACTTGTACATTTACTTTTGATTTCTATTTAAACTTCATTTTATTTACTTTAAATTTAGCTATTCGAAAAGTGTATACTGTACAACAAAACTGAAATGTTATAGATACACTACTTTCAAATGGATTTGTTGTTGATTTCTGAAACATAAGTTACGAGTTTTATTGTTAACATGCAATGGAAAAATGTTTAATAGTAAGTTAATGAATATTAAGAGACGAAATAAAAATACTATACATTTAAAATCACCAGGAATTTTTCAAGGTCAAAATTATAGTAATCAAAAAGTTTCAGTTCTTAGAAAAGACTTTTGCTTACCGGTAATAAATTTTCAATTATTAGCTTTATGAAGAGCCGGATGTGGCCAAGTGATTTGCTTGTCTGCTTCCATTGCAAAATCACTGGCATATGTATCTAAAATGAGTGTATCTTCCAGAGTTCGGTATGCCAGTACAGAAGTAGTGGTCAATTCTTTCTTCAGTTTGTTTAATGCTTGTTCACAATCAGCTGTCAAAAAAAAATATTTGGCTTCACTAGTAATTTATATAGAGGACGAATTATTTCAGAAAAAGATTTCATGAAAGACTATAGTAAGAACATAGTCCCAGAAATCCTCTTATTTCACACAGGCTCTTTGGTGTTGGCCAATTTTGGTCGGAGTCAGTCTTTGTTGGATCTGTTGATATTCTTTCTCTGCTAACCATGTGTCTCGTAAAACTCGTCTGTCGACAGAATAAATCATACTTCTGTGGATTCAGCTTAAGGTTCTCCTTCCTCAACCATTGCAGAACCTTCCGTAGACCTTCATAAGCATTATCCAAGGCCTTGTGTAAATAGAGGAGTATAACGTTCCAAGGTAGTTTAGACAGAACACATTCCATTAATTCTTGGAATGTAGTAGGAACATTACATAATCAAAGTAGTAATACCATAAATTGTCTTAATTCATTTCCTGTGTTTAAGGCTGTCTTCGCTCTACTTGCTTTGTAGACCTCGGTTTGCCAATTTCCACTATTAAGATCCAATGTTGAAAACGATGTTGATTCCGATAGAACATCCAAAGTCATTCAATCCTTGGCAGCGAGTAGGCATCCTTCTTTGTAATATAAACCTTGTGGATCCATCATTGTTACGTATTAGAATTTCAAATAGCCTAAAATTAAGTTAACTGATAATTTGAATTTAGTAGTTAAATGGTACTTTGGATTTAGTATTTAAATAAATGCCGATATATTGTCAGTTTGTGATATTTGCCAACAAGATTGATACCCAGTTTTCTTTTTTAACACAAATACGTTTTAATATGCACACAACAGTACAATTTACAATAACAATTATTACAAATAGTTATTACAAGATTGATACCAGTTGTCTTTGTTAACACAAATACGTTTAAATATACACACAACAGTACAATTTACAATAAAAATTATTACAAATAGTTATTACAAGATTGATACCAGTTATCTCTGTTAACACAAATACGTTTTAATATGCACACAACAGTAGAATTTACAATAACAATTATTACAAATAGTTATTACAATATTGATACCCAGTTTTCTTTTTTAACACAAATACGTTTTAATATACACACAACAGTACAATCTATCACAAATCTTTAATTACTACAGAAATTGCATCTGAAATGTTAATTTCAACATATTCATGTAAAAAGACAGTCCCAAACGAGGCCATGGCCATACCATGTCAAGTAGCATCTTACCGAGTTCATGATTGTTGTGCAATATACATTGGATGATACTTTTTTTTCTTTTTCTTTCTGAGGACTAGCATTTTTTTTCAAAGGACCATTACTGGGCCACTGACCACACGTTGGGAAATAGGATACATGAGTTTATAAATTCCACATTGTGTACTTGGAGCAGGGGTCAAATCAGCTTATTTTTTTGTGAGCATGCTTTGTTGCTCTCGAGAACATCATATTACAGTGTCACGTAAACGGTCTAATGACACAAGTGGTGAGTTGTTGCTTTATTTCCAGTGGATTTGTACATCAGTCGTTGACAGTAAACTAAACACAGAAAATAAATGTGAAATGTTCAGCAGTTCAAACTCTGAAGAGAAGTACTTTGAAACTTTGTGACCAATAATAAAGAAAATAGGGCACAGCTAATCCACCTCCTGTTCACAATGCTCGAAGTCACAACAGCATGCAACTCGTGAACATCTGTGTCCTGCATATGCCAAACAAAATGGGGGGGGGGTCCTTAAAATTCAGAAATTTAGTACAGTAAGTATAGGATCCAGCTTTGCATGGCTCATTTCTGATATTAAGGGCACCTTGCTATAGAGGGCATTTGGAAGGGTACCCTTAATGTTGAGGTTCTACTTTATTGTATACATATCATAGGTAAGAGCCTAGTATGGTTGTAAGTTGTTTTCAGTGTGTGTGTGTTTGATCTATGAGCTCATTCTCTTCATTCAATTATTAATTTAATCTAACTTGTTTTGAATTGTGAAATTTTGAATATAATTTAACGTTATTGTTCTCTGGTAACATTTTTATTATTATGGATCTGGCATGATGAGTATTATTGGAGAATTTCTGTGTAACCGACCGCAGCCATCTTATCCTTTCACCCAATGTTTAGTAGCCATTTTTTCATTGAATTCAACCACTACTGCTATTTGTTTGATGATCCATTCTGCCACAAGCCTAGTCACTGCTTTAGGCTTTTATTTTCAACAAAAATTTGAAAAAATTATCCTTTTGTGTCATGAATATGTGGTGGATTGCTTAGTTGGATCTTTAGGTTCATAAGCTTCATGACAGCAGGGTATATTATTAGGATTTCACAGTTCTTATTTTTCTTGTGTTTAAACACAATATTTAATGGCACATCTTATGATCAAGTTGAAAATAGTGTTGTTTTGGTCACTTAAAAATTCTTGTTTAAACAAAAATTTATCTGGGTTCCCATTTATCCACTGCTGTTCACTTCGTCATTCCTTTACTCGATTAATGAGAAAGTTGGACTGTTTATATCTACTTCTTTTCATGCATACCTTTTACATTTGTTACTTTTATGTGTTTTTATTTCCTTTAAACCTGCAGACAAACAACAGTAATTTTCTTTTTCTTGTTACATTTATATCACTGCATAAAAAAAGTTCCTAGACAGGTACTTAAAGTATGTGTTTAGTACAGTGATAATGAAGAATTCTGAAGTGATTGTTGAAAGACAATAAGTATTTATCACAATATTGAAAAGTTAAGATTACAAAAAAGTTCTTTCATGCACTAATCCTCAAGCTATAGAAACTAGAATCATCGAGTGTTAGGGTTAACAACATCATACGGACATACAGTTCTGTTGTTATTATACAGTTAATGGTTTGAAGTTTCTAACTTTGTATTCATACACACCAACATGTGTTTGCTAAAAATGCTGTATTCATAGTGTTTCTTGCAACAAAATCATAGGTTCTTAATTCACAAAGTTTATGCTCCATGCTGCTGTTGCACACTCTCCGAAACTGTTTTGAATTTTGCAGCAGTTACATATTTAATTGATGCATCAGTTTCATTACTGTGCTTTTTTTTTGTAAATAATACTTTTCTTCTTAAAACCTCAAACTTGGTTATTAAAAGTGAAAACTGCAACTTACACCTCAGAAATACTGTTTTTCATGTGTTATTTATATCAACTTGTGTTGTTGAAAACTGCAACTTACACCTCAGAAATACTGTTTTCATGTGTTATTTATATCAACTTGTGTTGTTAAGATCATTGTAACACAGAGACAGTGAAGAAGTTTGGCTTTTTTTTATCATTAGTTCTTTATTTATCTGTATTTATTTAATTTGTTCATATACACGCAGCCTTATATAATTTTGATATACTGTTAGCAGAGTAAAAAGAACGAGAAGAGAGTTGTAACTTAATAATTACAAGAAACGTATATTGAATTGACATTACAAAGGTCCAGAATATGGAACCACAGAAGCAGCTTGGAAAGGTGTATTGGGAGAAGCAGACAGACGTTGTGAAATGCATGTAAGGGTGAAAGATAAACTCCAGAATGAAGTTGTACAGCAAATCAAACAGTGGCAAAAGGATAACTTTCATAAATCTATGATCCAGCTTAAGGAGAAAAAGAAATGGATGATGCGTTTAAAAAGGTAAGATTTCTCATTGGTCCATTTTATTTTTTTACATACTGTAGCAAAATAAGTCAAACTAGTTCAAGATAAAGCTAGGATATCTGTATCTTTGTGTGTGTGAGTAGTTAGTGTATATTTTAACGAATTTGTGAGTATTTTAATATCAATGTTTGCTTAATTTAATTTATATTCAGAAACATACACAGCTTATACTGTTAAATATGTATTTCAAAACTCCCGCCTATTCTCCAAAGTTGTAGAAGACTCTCGAGAGTAAGAATCAACAATATATATATATGTAAACATTTAAATATAGCTCAGTATTGTTATGTAATCTGAATTTTCTAGAAAACCTTCCCATGCCTATAAATACAACCAGTGTGATACGCCAGAGAGAGTATCTATTAGTAGTTCACTATAATCAGTGTGCTATAAACTTCAAAAGCAACAACTGTGATTGTTATAACGCTTATCAATCGGAAAACTTCAGATATTTGACCAGGATCCTTTACAAAGTTTGAACATTACAAATTATTTAACTTCAGTGGATTCTCATCGGACATTAATATTTTTATGAAAACAATACATAACTTCAAGGGTGGAAAACCTAGCGTGTGTGACCAAGGACAAAGCTAGCTAGCTTCCGGCGAATTGTACTTGCATC